AGATAGTTTGATTATGTAAATAGATTGGCATATGTAATATATATATAACTCCATATGATGCCCTAGATAGTAGAAATGCCTAACACCACTCTCTTGAATAAAGAGGGGTGATAGGAAATTCAATGGGCTTGCCTTAGTTAATAACACTATTAAAATGATCCATCTAATTATAGGTAAATTAAATGATATATAGGATAGGGATAAATAATATTTTAATGCTAAGCACTAGACAGGGAATTCGAGGCTTAAAATTTTTAATACATGAAGTTCAAACTAATGAAAGGCATCAACATATTTGATAAACAAGTAAAACATAGTCCAAATTATTTTGGACCATTTGAAGTCACTGAAATAATTGGGAAGTAAGCCTATAGATTATAGTTGTCAAAAATTAATAATGTATTCCACATGTCATTTATGAGGATTGGATATCAGACTATTGAAATCATGTGTCTATTGAAGAAGTTGAGGTATGTCCAAATCTAAGCTATGAAGAATAACTAGAGAAGATTTTTTCCTATGATGTTAGAAAGTTAATGATTAAGTAGATACAATGTTTAATTTTTATTGTAAGAATAATATTGAAAGAGAGTCTACTTGGGAGAAATAATTTTAAGATGAGACAATTGTATGTTGATTAGTTATTGTGATATTAGTTCTATGTTTTGAAATATAAAGGATGAAATTTTCTATGGAGGGTAGAGTTGTAAAACCTCTATGTTTAGAATTCAATTCAACCAATTCTCATCTAATCTAAGTAAGATAAGTTGTTAAATTTCTATATTTAAACTGTTTTGCATGTATTTGAGAATATTTGGGTGCATGTAAGAGTCCCATGTGTTTTGAAGTTGGCCCTAGGGGTTTATTTGTTAATTTAATGCATTTGTACCAATGATTTAGTGAACTCATTTCTATATAATGTCATATGATTTATCTATACTCTTGTGTGGTGATCTGATGGTTGATAATCATTTAGCTATCAATCATCAAGAACTTAATATATCCTTCAAACATCAGCATGCACCTTTCTGTAGCTACACACTTTCTATAAAAATTTGAAACATCTAGTTTTTGATCTAAAATAATTCATATATGTAAACAAACTCAATCACCCAGTCATTATCAACTAATAATCACTTGAAGTTGCAGCCTTACGCTATAGCAAGATGACTCAGTACACTGACCAACACAAAGCACTGACACATACGAAGCACAACTTGATTTCATTTATCTAATTTCCAACAATAACCTAATTTGTTATGATTGATGTGGTTAATTTAAATTCAATTAATCAAATTCAAAATTGCATTCAAATCCAAAATTCTAGACCATAATTTAAGGTTAAGGACCCACATCTTATAACCCTTTTTGGGTGTTTTTAGTCACCTAAAAACCTTGTCAAATGACTTTTCATTCATGACCTATCGATTTTATATTTATTAAGAATTTCCATATGATCAGCCATTCAAATTTGAGGCCAATTAGAAACCTCTAACACTGAAACTTAATTGAAATCTAAAGACTGCAAAACCTTCAAATATTTACAGCCTATGCCACTAGACCTTCCACCTTGTAGAAATTGACCATGTGACCTTCCTCAAAATCCTTGACCATGTCCATAACCATTTTTATTAAATGTTAAATATTAAATTATACTTTGGTGGACCTAGGTTGAACAAGACTTGATAAGGGGACTAAAAGATCAAAATGCCCCTAAAGGGAAAAAATGGACTTTTCTCCAAACTTCAACATGGCCAATCCACATAATGACATGAAACCTTCTCCAATAAATCATAAAAAATCTTATGAATGATTTGGACTCAAATCCAAGCCTTGTTCATGCATGGTGGATGAAGTCAACTCATGTTGACAAAATTTCCCATTTAGAGCTTAATTGGACATTTCGATCCAAATGACATTGCTTTAGCTTGAAACCACCTTTATTGGTCTCTAATCATAAAAAAAAAATTATGAACCAAACCCCGCCCATGGGTTGACTTAGTTGAACAAGTAAATCATGGTTGACCAAATCAATAATACACCCAACCAATATCAAAATCAATGCTGCAAGCAATTTCAAACCAAATTAACCTTTCAAAATAATTCAATTGGACATTCCAAATATGTCCAAAATTTTCGTAATTTAAATCTCCCTTGATTTGACTTGGTCAACTCAATTGGATGGGACAAAACCCACTCCATTTTCATGTGTATGAACAAAAATCCAAGGCCATGGCCCCAAATACTTGATTATTTACCCAAGTAGCCAAATATACTCCCTTCAATGCAACCTCAGCACCATGGTCAAGTTTAATCAGTCAATTGGTCAAACTAGCTTCCAAATGGGCTTAGGTGGCTAAGACACACTGGAAGTCCTAACACTCATTCAAATCCTGCAATAATATATTGTAGATCAATCCATCCTCATTCCAAAGATACCCTTGTGAAGCTTTTAAACCAAATCTTAATCCATACTTTAGCCTAATGAGGGAAAAGGCAAGTGGTCCCCTTATCATTTGAGCGAAGGGGTCTCTCTCAAGTATCAGCCTTCCATCTAGCCTCTAATATCCTTGGGATACTTGGCATGTATCCATGCAAGCTCCAAACTTAATCTCAACCATTCATTTAAAAAGCTTTGGTTAAGGAGGGGAAAATTTAAACTAAGGGCTCATTATTCACAATTCATTCAAACTCTCTCTCTAATATCATCCAGCTCTGTAAGCTCCTGCACCAACTCCTCCATCTATTTTTCACTGCCATTCCAAACTTTTTACACTAAATCCAAGCCTCCAAACACCATTTTGATGAAGAGAGAGGGTTCTAGAGAGGGAAACTTAAGTTTTTAACCCAACTTTCAATCCAGACACATCCAACTTAGGGTGTTTTCTACAAAGTTGGAGAGGATATCACCAAGAGAAAAAATGAGTTTAAGATCATCAACATCAATCCATTGGTTGTTGAGATATCATCACTTCTAAGTAAGCTTAAATTTGAAACTACTCAAAATCTATAATTCATGTTGCCTTTAAGCTCCCGGCATTTGAAGATTAAGTTTCCATGAATATATGTTTCAAAGTTAATAAAATTTGGACTAGTAATTTAGAAGTTACGGGCATTCAAAGTTTTAGTTCATTTTAAACTAATTTAACTTTGGTCTAATCAGTGCCATATGTTCATGTGTTTCACACGATCAGATGACACATAATCTGCCATGTCACTCCATTCAAAATGTATACTTCTTTTATTTTGTCAGAACTCAGCCCAAATCAAGATTGCATGTTGACGTGGCAAAATTAGAGCCTTTCATTCGAATCAGGTAAGCTTGGATGGTCAATATGACCATTCCATCTGGTTAAGTGGCTACCATTACATGGCACAAGTCACCCACATGTCAGGATGGCACGACGGCATTGTAATAATTACCATTGCTAAATCATAATCAAAATTTGATTTTAAAAATTAATTTTAATGCCCAAAACTCTAAAAATTTATAGGAAATCTATTTTTTCACAAAATTTAATAATTCAGGCATCATCAGAGTGGTCATGTGCCCTAGTATTTATTAAAATTAATTACATGATATCCTAATCAAAGTAATATGAGACTTTTATGTTTATTTGAAATTTAATTTTGATAATTTTCTCACAATCTAGAGGTCAAACTAGACCCATTTTTTGGTGGAAATGTTTTGAGCATCTTAGGCATCACTTGAAATTTATATAGGTTAATATACTCTCTCGATTTCTATGGTGTGAATTTAAAAAGTATTGGGTCCATTTTGGATCACAAACTTTAAAAATTGATTACTCCCAAAATTGATAAGTTCTTGCTCTAATTATTTTTGTGGTGTTCTTGAACATGTGTCAGGATTAGTAGAAAAAAATTTTAGACCCATTGGAACACTAGTGACATGTAGGAAAAATAATTAAGGCCAATGTTTAAATGACTTAAAAAAATTTCTAGGAAATTCAACACATACCCAATAAGCGAGAAACTTTGGAACATTGAACTTAGTGAAATCATACACTTAGGTTCAAATTCGTTAGAGTTGCGGCCCATTAAGCAAGAAAATTAATCAATTTAGAAATTATCCACTTAAAGGGTCATAAAAATTTAAAAATTATAATAAATTCAAATTAATTCCAATAACATTCAAATAATATTTTAAATTGTTTATAATTCAACCCTATACATATGAAAATTAAAAGTCCCATCAATGGACTTCAATTTTGACCTTAACTTAATATTTAATTAAAATAAATAATTAAATAATTTGAATTACTAAAAATTATTAAAAATACTATAGAAATTCTAAACACGTGAAAATACTCCTATAGGTCATTCCTGGCCTTTGGTATTAATTTCAAGGAGTTTGGAGTGAGTTCGATGAAAAATCAACAAAACCTCATTAATTAAGCAAATAATTTATTCAATTAAATACAAAAATTTGAAAAATCATTATTATTTCAAAAAATTCCAAATTTGACAAACTCAAAGGAATTGGACTCCTTTAAGAGTCTAATATTTACTAAAAATATTGAAATTTAAAATCAATCAAATTCAAAAAGTTCTTTTTCGTCAACTGTTCAAAATTACATCAAAACTTTAAAAAATCATAACTTAATATAGAGAATATAAATCCATAAACTTATTGTCATTTTACTTAGCTTAGGGTCAAATATTTATGAAACATATTAAAAATTTAGAATTCTATCTAAATGAAAAAGTTAATCAAATTAAAATAATTTATAATTCGAAATTTCATCAATGATCAAGATTCCAGCAAAAAATAATCTAATCAATAAAATCAAATAACCAACCAAAAAAATACTAAATAAATACTCCATTGATGAAGTTTTTAAGATGGACTACCTTGAGCTGCGGGATTATGTGTCCTACCACTACAAAAAAATACCTTTTAACTACATTTATATTAAGACACTTTTATCTAAGTTCCCTAACAAATTATATTAGGGCATATAATAATTTAGGCACTAATTAAGATATCGTGTGCGATAAGTCCCTGCTCCGCCTTGCCCTATCCCGAACTGCCTCCTTCCTCTTATTATTTGTTCATTTTGCTTAAGCGTATATTCCTCCAACAGATGAATACCTAATCGAGGCCTCCTTATCCCCTTATTATTCTTTCATCTTGCTCAAGCACCGCATTTCTACTGTGGCATGCATGCAATTCGTCGATCCCTGCCACTACTTCAAGATGGCTGAACTAGGTAAGTCTTCTAATGGCTTTTAATTTTTTTCAAGCATAATATGCTTTATTCATTCCAATATAGAATGCCGATTGTGTAGGGTTCATAAAATATTCTTGTTCCCTCTTTTGATTTTCTAGGGCTCTTAAGGTTCTTAATTTGCAATTTCTGAACGATCGATAGACTGTCGTAATCGTCGAATGCAAATTGTTTTTTACATAGAAAAAGGTAAATCTTCTGACCTTATCATGATCTTCTCTATCGCTGATTTTGAAATTTATTAATTAGGCCATTGGTGTTCGCTTGAGTTAGTTGTTGGATTCGTTGCATCCTGATTCCACAAAGGTTTTTAGCAATTAATATAAGTAGGCAATCGAGTATTGCAATAAGGTTATAGAAGGTAGACTTATAATATTTGTGTAAATATTTATGAAGACCCAAATTCAATCGGTAAGGAAAATAGATATAATTTTTTTCGGAGGATTATAATGAAAAAAAAAAATATAGTTCCTAGTTATTGGGGCTTTTTTATGTTGTGTGTGAAGATTTATGGAAACTAGAGTTAGCATGTCTAAAATATTGAGAGGACTGGCCAAGACGCTGATTAAGCTGACCCTAGGAGTTGGGCTTAAGGATGATGATGTCAGGGTACTAAATTCATGGTAGCTTAAATTGCTTGCAAATTGTAATATATTTTGTAGTTGGCTTATCTTAGTTATAAGGGTGTCAAAACCGGGTCACGGGTCGGGTTCGTGTCAAACCCGAACCGACCCGGTAATGGATAAGGGTCAATATTCAGGACCCGAACCCGACCCGAGTCAGGTTCGGGTCAACCCGGAATGACCCGCTAACCCGATTTATTTTCAAAAAAAAAATTCAAAAACACAAACACAGAAAGTTATAAACAGAAATTTGCATAAATAAAAATTTTATTTAAGAATCAAAACCAATTTGTTAATTACAATATACAAATTATACAAAATATTAAACTATCAAATAAATTACACAAATAATTACAATTTTTAAAAATGTCAAACCATAATCGCAATTTACAAAATCTTCAACTCCTTGATGTCTTGACTCTTGTGCCTACGGCCTGCCCTCATAGAAAAAAACTAACTGCAAAAAATATAAACAATTAAATAGATATAATTTGAAATCCATGAATTAGTTGAAAGCTTGAGTTATTAGCTCAGATCAACCCTCCAAATAATTCATCATTCAATGAAATGTGAGTCAACAATATAATTTTTTTCGGTTGCGGACTTGCGAATCTAGAAATTGCCATCCAAGGTGCCATTTTGTATTTTATACTTAGTATCTGTTTGATTAACCCTCCAAATGTCACCTGGTTGCAATAACTTATTTCCCACAATTGACTTCACAATAAGTTTAGAAGGGTACTGTTGACCCCTAACATAGGATCCTTGCCTATAGATAACCTCATCAGTAGAGGCAAAGCTAAGGAGCTTGTTATGTAGTGGTTGAGGAAGCCATCAAATGATCCTCGGACAAGTTCGTACAGAAGCATTTCCTTTTTTATCTATAATGGGCCATGGTGGTATGTGCAAGACAACGCTCTTACAACCTGTTTATGAAGATGGAATGACAAAGGAATTTGACCTTAAAATGTAGGTTTGTGTTTCCAACAACTTTGATGTAAAAAAAAAAGAAGAAGTCATTGCACATATGTTGGAATCTCTTAAGAAGGAGAGACCTCATTTGGAGACGCTTAAGGCACTTCAAGATAGCCTTTGGACTGAAATCATGTTCAAAAAAGTTCTTGCTTGTGCTGGATGACATTTTGGGAGGATGATGAGAAGCAGGATAAAGGTAAAAGGGAGAAGGTGCTCGTCTCTTTGACTTATGGGGTTTTGTTATTAGAATTTTGGTGACAACTTCAATGGGCTCATCTGCAATGATGATTGCAACGGTCATTAAAAAAGAAGGCGGAAGTATTTAGATTAGAAAGCTTGGGGAAAGGTCAGTGCTGAAGCTCCTCAATCCGCATGCATTTGCTGATAAGAAGAATTCTAATGATTATTAAAAGATTAAGATCCACCGCTAGAAAGATGATTGAAACGCTTTTTGGATCTCCATTTGTTGCAAAGGTCATCGATAGTGTCGTGAATTCCTAGGCAATTCAAAAAAAAAAAAGATATAAAGGCCTGCGCTACGATGGAAATGAGCCCTCGAAAATGCTCAGACGACATCCGATCGACAAACGAACAGCGTCATGACGTCCGAAACGTCATTGACATTCAGGATATACATTTTATTTAATGAATTTGGATCATCTGAGATGGTGGTGAATTTTTAGGCGATGCAAATATAATATAAAGGCCTACGCTACGACGGAAATGAGGCCTCGAAGATGTCCAGATGACGTCCGATTGATGAACGGACAATGCCATTGCGCCCGAAATGTCCCCGATATTGAGAATACACATTTTTATTTAACAAATTTGGATCGCCTGAAGTGTAAAAAAATTTTAAAGGGGCGACTCAAATATGATGTAAATATATGCGCTATGAAAGAAGCGAGGCCTCGACGATGCTCAGATGACCCCTAATTGATGAACAGATAGCTCCATTGCATCCGGAACGTCGTCAACATTAGAAATATATATTTTGTTTTGATCAAATTGGATCGTTTAAGGTGGCGTCGCAAATTTTGAAGCAATTCTAATATGATGCGAAGCCTCGCATTTCGATGGATATATATATATAAAATCTATATACAAAAAAAAAATAAAAAAAAAAGAAAATCAAATGGGCAGGAGTCAAATGAAACGTTAAATCTCATTAATCTCACCTCGTATCTCTTTGGATTTTCTGCTCTGAATTTCGATTAAATCCCGTAATTCTCACTGAAGCGAAATATTGAGTGGACTTTGCCTCGCCGAGTGCGCAGTTCCTTCCTTAAAACAAGGCTGAAGAGAGCTTTAGTTTTTTTTACTACTATTCCCTCTCCCATGCACGCAAGCTCCAGGTAAAGGTCTGTTCTTTATTCGCAAGTTTCTTTCTAGCCTCTCACGGTTCCAATCGCAAGACATCCACACCTCTGCCTTCGCCTCCCACCTCTCGTCCAAGCCGTGAAATCCCCTCTTCTTCAAATGCCGACCTCACCTCAGCAACTGAGCAACACCGTTCAGCCTCCTCCGTGTAAACGCACACAGCTCCTCTGCGTTCCAAGCCAGGGAAGTGCTCACAACGCGCAACTAGTTTTCACAAGCTGAACTTCTGTCTCTGATTAGCCTGCTTCATCCCTGCTTTAAGCAAGAGAAAAGGTAAAGAGATTCCTGACATCCATGTGAAAAAAGAAAAGAAGGGGTGCACAGTATACATTTTTTTTTAGTTTATTTCCATGCTTTTTTTTTTTCTTTCTTTTTTTTTTTGTGAAATTTTGGGGCCTAAGCCCATTCATTAATAGAGAAAAAAATTACAGTAAAAGAACCCAGCTCCAAGCAAAAGGCAGGAGTGGAAACAAAAATTACAAGTAAAAAACTGTAATGAGAAACCTATACCACCCCCAAAAATTGAAACCAAAATGTGTGGTAAACAAAAAAGTCAGGACTCAGGAATTGCTGCAGCCAATAGAAGGCGGCCCGAAATCATAAAGATCTTAAAGAAGCTCCTGGTTGCCTAAACAAAAGACCCTCCAAGGAGCAAAGCTGCAGCGGTCATCATTATCCTGCAAAAAAATTCTCGAACGCAGCATAAGGTTGGTGTTATGAATTAGATAACAGCCAACCGAAATGGTCAATGAATCCAGATAGCCAAGTATGCTATATTCGCCATCGAAGGAACACCAGAACCATAGAGGAAGGTTGCCAAGAGAAGCAACAGAAAAACCAAGCCTGGAATGAGCAGGAGAATTATCCCAATAAATGCAGTAAACCATGTCCGTTTTTCCAACCCACCATCTTAGCATAACAAGCTTTTTTAACTTTCCTAGCAACCGTGGTATAGCATTCAATAATATTGCCAAAATGCCTATCATTACGGGCCCGACAGATAAAATAAACCGTAGCATTTAACATCAGACAGTAAAAATTCCTCATGCTCCTGTTATCAGAAATGTCCTCAATAAACTCAAAAGCTTGTAAAAGATTCGGTCTGAGAAGCAGAGATTGAGAGTGCGGGATTAAAGAATTGAGGACCTTGAAAGAGAATTCACATTCGAAGAAGAGATGTGAATGGGATTCACAGAAATCCTGACAAAAAACACAAGTGGAGTTAACTGTGATACCCCGTTTTAAAAGCTGATCAGTGGTTTTCAAGCCCTTTCTAACCGCAAGCCAACCATAAGAAGAGTATCTAATAGCTGAATGTTTGTGCCAAATAAAACTATGCCATGAGACCTTATGAAGCTGCTTAAAGTATTCTTTTTGAAAAAGTTTATTCGAAACTTTTTCCCCATTATTCCAGAGACTATCAGTAAAGCTGCTGGCCAAAAACACAGAATTGATCTTGTTTGCCAAAAGATGTGGCCAGTGATAAGGAACGGCCCAGGTGCCGTTAGAAACAATATCAGACATAGTCAAAGTGTTAAGATTATCAAACCCAGCTAAATCCAAATCCTGAAAAAGACTCATAAGAGAATTACCAAAGCACCAAGGGTCCCAAATTAGAGAAAAATTGCAGCTTGGGAAGACCCTAAGGGAGATGCAGTGCTTAATCAATTGAGCCACTTTACATAAGTTAAACCAGAAATGAGATCTGCGATTAGGGAGAGGAGCCCAGAGAGATTTGTAACGATTACGCCACCATTGAAATAGAGGATTGCTGTCATTAATAAACCTCCAAATTGTAGAGCACGAGAAGCCAAAAGATAGAGAGTCTAGGGAAGGTAGCCCTATGCCCCCATTAATAGTTGGAGTGCAAGTATCTTTCCAAGCAATGAGATGCAGTTTTTTAACCGAAATATCCCTGTAGAAAAGAAATCTAGAGCAAAGCTTATTTAAAGTCTTGAAGCAACTTTTGGGCAAAGAGGAACCTCTAACCCAAAAAGCAATAGTATTAATGATGGTGTATCTGAGGAATTGAATCCTCCCCCCAAAGGAAAGAGTCTTAGCTTTGCACCCGTCTAAAGCTTTGGTAATTCTCAGAAGAAGTGGCTGAAAATGAGCTTGAGAAAGCTTTCTAGTGAACACCGGGATCCCCAAGTATTTAATAGGGGAAGAAGTTTGCAGAATATTGAGGAGAAGACAGATATCATCAGCCGTTCTGCAATTCTTAGAGAAAATAATTGAGCTTTTAGAAGGGTTAACCTTAAGCCCAGAATGTGACTCGAAATTCTCCAGAATAGTCTTAAGGGAGGAAGCCTCATAGAGGTTAGCCTTAGAGAAAACAAGTAAGTCATCAGCATATAAGAGATGAGTAATAGAGGAGTTACCCAATGAGATACCCGAGAAGAGCTGATTAGATTTGGCTTCCTCAAAGAAGGCAGAAAGGCCGTCCATAACAATAGTGAACAGATAGGGGGATAAGGGGCAACCCTGCCTCAAGCCTGAAGTAGAATTGAAATAGCCTTCCAGCACACCATTAATGGCAACAGAGAAATGAATATCAGAGATACAGGCTTGAATCCAAGAAATGAAAACACTAGGGAAGCCTTTAGCTCTCAACCGGTCTAAAAGGAAATGCCTTGAAACAGTATCGAAAACCTTGTGAATATCAAATTTAGCACAAAAATAAAGCTCATTAGAGTTATAATTAAAAGTGACAAGCAGCTCAGAAGCAAGAATAATATTATCAGAGATAATTCTATCTTTAATAAAACCAGCTTGAGCAGGATGAACAATAGTTGGCATTACCTCTTTCATTCTGTTAGCAAGCAACTTAGCAATGATTTTATAAAAAGCATTACATAAAGAGATGGGACGGAAGTCACTAACAGTGGAAGCATGGGGGTGTTTTGGAATCAAAGCAATAGCAGTATTTTTAGCATGTTTAGGCATAAAAGAAGTGGCGAAAAAGGATTGAACAGCAGAGCAAATTTTGTTGCCAAGAATGTGCCAAGTAGCCTTATAAAATTCAAAAGTGAAGCCATCAGGTCCCGGGGAAGCATTGGAGGGTGAAGAGAAGACAACCTGCTTAATTTCCTCAACCGAGAACGGGGCAATAAGCGAATCCAGCATCCCGGAGGGAATGGTGTTTCCAGTAGGAAGGCTGGAATGCATAGGAGGTTGAGGGGTATTGAATAATCTTTGAAAATGATCAATAAAAGCATTAGAAATGCTCTGACTGGAAGTGTGTAAAACCCCATTAACATCAATACCCTTAATATGGTTGCAGTTGTGGCGAATATTGATATTGGAATATAAAAATTTCAGATCATCTTCACCAGCTTTAAGCTAGTGGGCTTTGCTTCTTTGGGAAATCCAGTCACAAGACAGGCCTGACCAGCATAAAGATTCTCGTTAATAGTTTTGAGTTGCAAGTTCAGAGAATAATCTAACGGATCTCTTTCAAGAGAGGTAATAGTATGAGCTTGCTCTTGAGACAACTTATTCAAATCCTCTTTCAAAGTATTAGAAGAGTTCCAGTTTCTCTGTTTGAGCTTAAATTTAAGCTCTTTTAATTTATGATAAAGGTCACAAATTGGGCTACCAGTAGCCGGCAAGGTAAAAACCGTCATCACATCATCCCAAAACGTAGGGATTTTGCTGCAGTAATTCTTATACATAAACCTATGAGGATGCTTCATAGGAGTTTCCAGATATAAGATAATAGGGCAGTGATCGGAGATATCAGGGTCAGAGACAATATAATAAGAATTTGGAAACAAATTAAGCCACTCATCATTAATGAGAACTCTATCCAATTTAATGTGTATCGGAACATCCAATCTTTGATTATACCAAGTGTAGTAATGACCAATAGAGGGTAAATCAGAGACACCAGAGTTAAAGACAAAGTTGTTTAACTCACCCAGCTTACTGAGGGGAATGGGATTACCCCCAGCTTTTTCCGATGGATTTCTGTAGCAATTAAAGCACCCAAAATAGCCCAAGGAAGAGAAATACTGCTAGCTAGATTAGCAGTAAAATTCCAAAGGTGTTGCCTCTCCGCCACAGAATTAGAAGCATAAATCGCCGAAATACAGCAAAAATCCTGACCACCACAAGAAACCACCCCATGAATAATCTGAGAAGAAGAGAAGAGAGGTCTGAAAGAGACCTTAAGAGCATTCCACTTAATCCAGATACGACCCGGAGAGC